CTGGCTTATTTTTTGTATTTTTAGTAGAGATGGGGTTTCACTGTGTTAGCCAGGATGGTCTCGATCTCCTGACCTCGTGATCCGCCCATCTCGGCCTTCCAAAGTGCTGGGATTACAGGTGTGAGCCACCGCGCCCGGCCAATTGTTTTTGTTTTTTTTGAAACATTCTCGTTCTGTCACCCAGGCTGGGGTGCAGTGGCGCAATCATAGCTCACTGCATCCTCAACCTCCTGGGCTCAAGCTGTCATCCCAAGCCACAGGTGTGCACCACTGTGCCAGGCTAACTTTATTTTATTGTATTTGTAGAGACAAGGTCTCACTATGTTGCCCAGGCTAATCTTGAACTCCTGGGCTGAAATGATTCTCCCACCTTGGCCTCCCAAAGTGCTGGGATTACAGGCGTGAGCCCCTGTGTCTGCCTGGGTCTTTCTTTTTTTTGAGACTGAGTCTTGCTCTGTCGCTCAGGCTGGAGTGCAATGGCGCAATCTCAGCTCACTGCAACCTCCGCCTCCTAGGTTCGAGCGATTCTCTCACCTCAGCCTCCTGAGTAGCTGGGATTGCAGGAGCCTGCCACCACGCCCAGCTAATTTTTGTATTTTTGTACAGATGGGATTTCACCATGTTGGCCAGGCTGGTCTCAAACTCTTGACCTCAGGTGATCCACCCGCCTCAGCCTCCCAAAGTGCTGGGAGTACAGGCATGAGCCATGGCGCCTGGCCTGGCCTGGGACTTTCTATGTGGACAGTCGTGTGGTCTGAGTGGGGAAAGCTGGGTCTCACTTTCCTATCTGTGCCTCTTGCTTGCCTTGCCTGACAGTGCCTCTGACCCCCAGGGTAGGATGGATAGGTGTGAGCAGGCGTCCCTGACGCACCCGGCCTGAGAGAAAGCATTGTCTTTCACTGAATAAGTGGGATTTTGCTGTGGGTTCTTCAGAGATGTGCTTAATCAGGTTGAGGAAGTTCCTTTCTGACCCCGACTTGCTGAGTTTTTTCTTGGACGGATGTTCAGCGGAACTTCCTCTTTCAGCTGCATGTGAACGGCAGGCTCCCTGAGCCTCAGAGGCATGTTGCTGTGCAGTTTTTGTTCTAGGGAACTTAGAAGGCTTCCCTGTTAGGGTTGCAGCTCAGGACTCCGTCCCCACCAGCTGCCGTCCCCTCGCCAGCCCACTGCCCTTTGGCTGGTGGAGTCACTCGGTGAGCAGAGGAGTGCGGGTGGACTGAGCTGAGGGCGGGGAGCGTGGAGAGTCCACCAGGCCTCTGCTCTTCCTTCTGGGCCGGGCGGCAGTGCCCCCTCCTCACCCACCCAGAGGGGTTGTAGCTGCCCTTAGAAAGGCAGGAGCCAGGCTAGTCTCCGCAGGGCCACTCCCAGCGTCTGACCCAGCCCCACCAGTCAGGAGCACAGGTGACCATTCCTGTCTACTTGGACTCACCTTGTCCTAGGCCTGCAGCAGTGCCTGGCACGTGGGAGGCACTCAGGAAATACCTGTGTCCTGACTAAGGGGCACCACCCTCTTGATGCCCTCTGTCTGTGACTCCCTCAGACCCCTGAGGGCCCTGTCCTTGGTGCCCAGCTGTGCCTGCTGGTACCTGGCTGCTGTATCCTTTCTGTCAGTGTGCCTCATGCTTCACACCTGTTGAGTAGGAGGCACTTTTGAAGAATGCCCCATGACATCTCGCCCCTTCCTCCTGGCTACAGGTTTTCCTCCCAGCCAGCACTACCCGCCTCCCCGCTCCGCCTCCCCACTCTTCCTCCTCTTTGCAGCAGCCGGGCTCCTTTCCCCCTCCCTTCCCACCTCTTCTGCCCACTGGGTCAGCCTTCCTGGGCTGCGCCTTCTGACTAGAATGTTCTTTCTTTCCCACCCGAACTCCCAGACCTGGGGACCCCTCCTCATCCACCAGGACTCACCTTCACAGTCATCCGAATGGGACAGCTCCCCTGCCTCCCCACTCCCTCCCTCCTGAGCGATGTGTGTCCCTTCCCCTGCTTCCCCAAGCAGAGAGCAGAGCTCATTTCAGACTCAGCAACAGGCATGGAAGGGGGGTCTGGCCAGGCATCACACTGCTCCCTCCTCCCCAGGCCGAACTGATGAGCAGCCTCATTGAGTACTGCATTGAACTGAGCCAGGTGGCTGAGCCCACAGGCCCCCAGGACAGTGCGACAGGCCCGCCCTCAGACCCCAGCTCCTCACCGGCTCCTGTTCAGCGCCCCAAGCTGCGGAGGCAGGGCAGCGTGGTGTCCAGCCGGATCCAGCATCTCTCCACCATCGACTACGTGGAGGACGGTGAGCAGCCCTTCTGTGCACATGCACACACAAACACGCATGCACATGCACACGCCGGGGGGCGTTCCTGAGGACAGGCATTGCAGAGCAGCTCCAGACCCAGTGTGAGCTGGCCTCCATCTCAGGACCCAGCTGTGAGCAGGGCGAGCCTGGGCCTTGGCCATAGTGCCTTTCCTGTCCCTTCTCACTGCCACGTCACAGACGTGTTCTGCAGCATTGTCCAGGATGTGATCCGGGAAACTACTCAACATCTGTTATTAAAGTGTTGGGTAGGCAGGGCACGGTGGCTCACGCCTGTAATCCCAGCACTTTGGGAGGCCGAGGCGGGAGGATCACCTGAGGTCAGGCTGGCCAACATGGTTAAACCCTGTCGCTTCTAAAAATACAAAAAAGTTAGCGAGGTGTGTGATGGGCACCTGTAATTCCAGCTACTTGGGAGGCTGCGGCAGGAAAAACACTTGAACCTGGGAGGCGGAGGTTGCCGTGAGCCGAGATTGCATCTTTCCACTCCAGCCTGGGAGACAGAGCAAGACTCCGTCTCATTCATAAATAAATAAATAAATAAAGCGTTGGGTAAATCACTGTTGTGACCACATCCTGGGGTGTTCAGTGCAGCTGGTAAAAATACAGTACCCAGGCAGGGCACAGTGGCTCACACCTGTAATCCCAGTACTTTGGGAGGCCAAGATAAAGAGGATCGCTTGAGCCTGGAAGTTCAAGATCAGCCTGGACAACAGAGTGAGACCCTGTCTCTACAAAATATACTTCAAATTAGCTGAGCATGGTGGTATATGCCTGTAGTGCACCTTCTTGGGAGGCTGATGAGGCAAGAGTATTTCTGAGCCCAGGAGTTGGAGGTTTGCAGTGAGCTACGATTGTACCACTGCACTGCAGCCTGGGTGACAACGATGAGACCCTATATATTTTTTTAATTAATTAATTAATTTATTTATTTATTTTTGAGACGGAGTCTCGCTCTGTCACCCAGGCTGGAGTGCAGTGGCGTGAGCTTGGCTCACTGCAACTTCTGCCTCCCCGGTTCTAGCGATTCTCCTGCCTCAGCCTCACGAGTAGCTGGGACTACAGGTGCCCGCCACCATGCCCGGCTAATTTTTTGTATTTTTAGTAGAGATGGCTTTTCACCATGTTAGCCAGGATGGTCTCGATTTCCTGTCCTCGTGATCCGCCCGCCTTGGCCTCCGAAAGTGCTGGGATTACAGGAGTGAAACACCACGCCCGGCCCGAGACCCTATTTTTAAAAAGGAATACCCTGGCCGGGCACAGTGGCTCACGCCTGTAATCCTAGCATTTTGGGAGGCCAAGGCAGGCGGATCACCTGAGGTCAGTAGTTCGAGACCAGCCTGACCAACATGGAGAAACCTCAT